AAGGGACGGGTCCCGGTGTCCTCAGTCCCTTTGAGAGCATAGGGCAGGATTTTCCTGAGCTTTGCCCGTTTGAGAGAAAAATGGTGCTGAAGGGCAGCATCTCCTTAAGAGTGGGTAGCGTGTGTAAGTGCACCCTGGCCACCAAGGAGGCCGCCGTGGGCTGCACTTGGTGGGGACACCCCGACGGGGCCCAGACAAACAGCTCAGCAGGCAGGGTCTCTTCCACTGCACCCTCCCTGGGAGCTGCGCCGCCCTTGTCTGCTTGCTCAAGGGGGAGGCCCCGGGCCAGGCCAGGCAGAAGAGGGGGTGCGGGAACTGCCCCTCGCCAGGCGTCAGCTCTTTCCCGGGAATCTGGAGCCGAACAAAGACTTTCCACGCCCCCAGGCGGATGGCACACACCTGTCTGCCAGACCTACCAGGCGACGAGAAGTATGTCTGTGTGTTTCTCATTCACGTTTCCTAAAAGATTAATCATTTCTGTGCCTTTAGCAAACTTCCAGTGTTGCTCTTAAAAAGGGATCGTCCACCCTCCCGGACCACAAGGTTAAGGTAACCCCACTAGGTCACCCCGATAGGCCTGCTGTGGGGCACACCGACAGAGAGAGTGAGGGCGAGGGCGAGGTAAGCACCCCGAGGGAGCCCCGGGTTCCCTGGCTCGCATGTCCTCGCCGGCGCAGGCGCCTCCTGAGAAAATCAAGCCTTGCACTTTCTGTCACCTCTACGTCTTTCAAGGTCTTCCCTTCGAGGAGCCCGGGATGGTTTCTTCCTCCTCATCTGGAGGCCTCTTCGGGGCTACGCGTGCCCCCTGCCCCCCACAGGGGGTGGTGCTTTGGGGCCAGGGTGCCTCTGCTCTGTCTGGAGGTGGCTGCAGCTGGTGATGGGCAGACCCTGGCTGGGGGCGGCAGTGGTCAGGCAGCTCCACCGTCCTGCCCTGGCTGGACCCCCTCAACCTTTGTGGGCCGTTGGAGGTAGCAGGTGGGAGCTCAGAGCCTTCGCTGCAAGCCTTTGAACTCCCACAGATGACCTGCCAACCCAGCACTGGTGACGGATGCCGCGGCCCTGAAGTGTTGTGGTCATGCGAGGAGCTTCCTGAACTCGGTGGCCGTGGGGGACATGGGCAGTGGGCCAGAGCCTTCTACGAAGGTGGCCCCCTTGGCAATAGTGTCAGGTGGAAACCTGTGGGCTGCTGCTGAAAGCCCCGAGGCCAGGGGCCACCTGGCCTCGCGCCACCCTGTCTGAGGGGCCCCAGCACGTGTCTGTGGCCGGCCCGCGGAGCTTCCCGGCACCAGGCAACCCGGAGGACGCGGTCCTGGGCACCCGCTCCCGAGCCTCGTCGGACCGACTCGCTGCTTCTGCTGGCCCCTGGGCGTTTCTTCTCCATGCAGGCTTGCTCTGTCAGATCCGTGCCCTTTCTTGGCTTGGTGTCAAGGGGCAGAGTGGCCAGGAGGGGTCACGCTCGCCTGTTTCTGCAGGGACCCCTGCTGCGCTGGCTCAAGGTGAACTTCAGCGAGGCCTTTATTGCCTGGGTCCACATCAAGGCGCTGCGGGTGTTCGTGGAGTCTGTGCTCAGGTAGGTGGGGGAGGAGCCGGGACGAGCCAGGTCCAGGGCCACCTGGGTTCACCTTCCTCCCTCCCCCACCCCCCACGTCCCCCAACCTCCTCGGACAGGACCTCTCCCCCGGCTCCTGGCCAGGGTTTCTGGATCCAGTGAGCTGTCCCTCAGCCATGAGGCCCCCTGCTGGCCGGTGCCCTTTCCTGCCAGACCCTAGAGTCACCTCCCCCTTCCCTGCCCGCTCCCCCTCGCAGCTGCCAGGGTCCAGGACCTGGGCTCAGACCCTGACCTTGAGGCTAGAGCCTTCGGGCATCAGAACAGTCAAACGCAGCCACACCAAACCACCACCACCAAAACTTACTTTTTTTTGAACGAAAGCAAAATAGTTTGTGGAAATTTTGGAAACTATGGATAAACACAAGGAATGAATACAATCACCTGACATTTTAACAGGGAGAGAAAGCACTGCTAACGTACATGCTGGTGTGTACTCCTTCAGATTTGGGGTTTTTGGCTTTTTAAATGTACAGAGATGTATAATTCTGCCTAAATTTTTATGACAATGGGATCTACCGGGAATTATTTTTTGAAGCCAGCTTTTCTTCCTGCTCTGAACATGTGGGGTGTCGCGAACACACCACTGGCTGCACCCTGCTTCCGGGGCTGCCCCTACCCTGGCCGGCAGGCTCGGATGCTCTCCCAGCCCTCGGACCCTCTCTGCTGGTGTCCCTCCCCACCGCAGGCTGCCCCAGGGTCCACTCCCAGCCCCCACCTGGCCCGCCGGCCCTCCTCTGTCTGGCTTGTCTTCCCTTCTAGCACCTTCCTCCAGCTCCCCTGTTTCTGCCGGTGGCCAGCTTGGATGCCTCTGCCCCCCGCCCTGGCATCCTGCCCCCGCTGCCTCCGCCCACCGCCCCATGCCTGGCCCGGCCTGTCACTGTCACCCTTCCCGTTTCCTCCTCTGTCTCCGGTCTCAGCTTGCCCGGTGGTGCCACGGGCTTCTACTTGGTCCTGTGCTTCACCCTCTCTGTGGCTGCCAGTGCAGTTTTGTCCAAACGCAGATGGGATCTGACCGTGGTTCCTCATCCTCCCTGCCCCCCTCCCCCCCCGTCCCACCATCTCAAAGGCCCGTAATGACTAGGGTTTCCTTGCTGGGTTGACAGGCGCTCTCACACTAACCTGGAGTATTTCAGCTGTCTCCAGCCAGTGGGTGCCCGGACCGAGCCTGCTGGCTGGCCCGCCTCGCAGACCAGTGTCCCGAACACGGCTGTGACACTTGCACATTGAACAAAGGCACGCTCAGGCGTGTGTGCTGCAGGGCGTATTCCTCGTGGCCCCACAACCCCCAGATAACCAGGGCTCTTCACATCCTCCAATCAGGGTCATTTGTACCTAATAGTCTGCAGCTTGCTCTTCACCTGCTTTGCATTGCAGTCTCATCAGTATGGGTAGAGCTATGGAGAGATTGTAATCTAAGAGTCAGTGTTGACTGAGCGCATTAGAGCGGACATACAGGTCACATCCCCACTTCCTCCGACCACCTAGTGACCTTAGCCTGGCAAGTGTTAGCAAGTGTTTTTGACCTTTTCCCGCCCCGGGACCCGCAGGGGGTGCTGGGGCACTGGGAGTCGACAATGACTGAAGGGTGTGGGTGAGTTCACCCTCAGGGAGAGTCAAGGGAGGGACCAGAGGGACACCTCAGGGAACCTCAGCATTTAAGGAGTGGTGGCCGAGAAGCCCGCAAGAAGTCAGAGACAGGAGGGTGTGGTGCCCAGGGTCTGAGGCAGTGGAAAGTCAGGGATCTCAGGTCCATGGTGTGAGACGCTAATAGAGTGAAACAGGACATTGGACACTGACGTTTAGAACAAGAGCTCATCGAGTTAAGGTTTTGTTTTGAATGGGGCAAGACAGTGGTGAGTTCATGGGCAGGGACAGTAGGAGACAGAGGGTGGCCCCAGTGTTCAGTGCAGAGGTGCAGGCTGGGGCCGGCCCGGTGCTTGGCTGCCGTGGCAGTGGTGACCGTCAGCCCACTCTCACGGAGCCGCTGACCTCGCCTTTCTGCAGATCAGAGGAGACCCCAGCGTTTCCAGGCGCACTGCTCCATCGGCAGCCGCAATGGGGCCTGGGGACGCTTGGGAGCGGGGCTTAACCGTGGACACGGGGAAATAAAAAACCGAGCAATAGTAGCAGGTGTTTGCCTGTGAATCATGGGCGGGTCAGGCAACTCAAAGGGTGTCAGTGCCCTGAGGGCTACGTTCACAGCTGGCTTGGGGACAGGAAGGCGTGCAGGTGACAAGCAGGGAACGGCCAAGATTTGCTCCCTGATGGTATATTTTTAAAAAAATTGACTCACCAAGGGCATGTTTATTATTTATACAGTACTCAATTGTCTTTGGGCAACACCACAGAAAAAGCGCCAGGCAAGTGATTTTAAATGTACTTGGGCACGTGAAGTCCATTTAGTCTTTTATTCACCCGAAAGCTCGATAAGCTGGACTTTTTGCTTTTCCTTTTATTGGAGGAAAGGCAGCAAGGCTGGGATGGCCTCTCAGCTCTGCGATCAAGAACCGCCGCTGTCAGAAGTGGGTTGGCGTGTTCTGGTGTCTTCTATCTGGAAAGACCTAGATCACTAGGTCACTAGAAACGATCACTAGATCGTTTCCCCCGACCCTTGACTCAACTGAGCTTTATTTTCTCAAGCTGCTACGCTGGCCGCGGCTTCTCATTTTACTTGAACCCCCTCGGTTTCTCGTTCAGTTGGCTTTGCCCACATCCGCACCTGGTGTAACGCACACACTTTTGTCTGTCCGAGAAGGTACGGACTCCCCGTGAATTTCCAGGCTGTGCTCCTCCAGCCTCATAAGAAGTCATCCACCAAGCGGCTGAGGGAGGTTCTGAACTCCATCTTCAGGCACCTGGATGAAGTGGCAGCTGCAAGTCTGTTGGACGTAGGTATCAGACCCTGAAGTAGCTGCCTTTCTGCAGTAAGGGTCAGCTTCTGTACAGGGGACACCCGCTCCCCAAAATGGTACTTGGCAGACTACTGTGAAAACCTAATTCTACAAATACGAGGTGTCAGAGGCTGTGTGTGTGTGCGCGCGCCAGGGGGCAGCAGGTGGGGGTGGGGGTGCAGGGCAGAGCGCACGATCAGTGTCCAGAGAGCTTCGTGGAAAACGTGGAGGCACCACCGGAAAGCAGCCCGCGCACTGCGGCCACCACTCTGTCTCCCTCCGCAGGCGTCCGTGGAGATCCCCGGGCTGCAGCTCAGCAACCAGGACTACTTCCCTTACGTCTACTTCCACATCGACCTCAGCCTTCTGGACTAGGCCCGGCGGCCCCGCGGGGCTTTCGCACTCCCAGGGATGAGACGAAGGCAGACAGCCTCTCCCTCAGCCGGAGCGGCTCACGTGTCCTCCAGAATTTAGATTTTCAGAGAAAGTGCTCACAGCAGTTAGTTCCAGTTGTATTTATTTTTTGTAAGTTACAATAAAGAAATGCTCAGTCCTTTCAACCAGCTCTTGACTCGTATTCTAACATACTGCAAAACTTCATTTTTCTGAATGTTTCACCTCAGTGGGGACAGCCCCCAAATTGGTTGCCTGCTGCCGTGTGCCTTGTTGTCACGGACCCTCTGTGAGGACTCGGTGACATGAAACCCTTGAGAGCACAGTTGAGCCAGCTGTGTCCCCAAACAGCCACTGGAGCTGGGCCACAGATGGCGCTGGGCACAGAACGCAGCTCGGGGGGCCATCCCACGTCCCCGAGGCAGCCTGGCCAGGCAGGACACACACCACCTGTGTTGGAGCTGCACCCAGATGGTGCCGGCGAACCACAGGTGTTTAGAAAGGAAAGACATCAGGGCCAGACATTCATGTTAATTTACTGGCTACACAGCAGACTCAGAATCTATGATGTGGACACTAATTTCATACATTTGTTGGCATTGTCCAAAATATTATTTTATTCTTTAATGGAAAAAGCCATTAATATTCAAATGAAAGAATCACATTAAAAAACTTACATAAGAAACAGCCTCCAAGAACACCCAGCAGCAGTCAGAGGGAGGGAGAAGTGTTTCAACAGCCCATCAGTTTTCTTCAAAATATTACTTGACAGAGTACAACCCAATTCACCGGCTACAATTCATAGAATTTTTCATTGTTTTCTTGAGATGCAAAAGTTCACTGTTGCAGTGTTTTCAAGTGACCAATCAAGTGCTACTTCTTGGTTAACATGGCCACTGGCAGACGCACCTGTGCGTACAAAACGTTCCTTCACTGCTGGGAAAATCTGCTCCCAAGAAAAGGAGACCGAGGGTCTCTGTGAGCCCCTCACAACTCATCTTTCTCTAAGTCGTCCAGCTCCACGTCACTGAGGTCAATGTCGTCTTCCACGGGAAGCTGTAGAACAGAAAGCCACCGTCAGCCCTGCAGGTTGGTCACAGATACAGACAGGTGACCCCAAACCATGATTTTCCTGGCAGCCATTTCACTCGCCCTCCCGAGGAGGGCGGGGCAGAAGGGCACGGGCGCACAGGCCCACTGCAAAGCTGTGGCTGCACCTCTCTGGGAGGCAAAGCGAATGAATCCAGGGGTGCACGCTCGCTCTGGGCGATCGCCAGGAAAGCGACCTCATCACCGACATTTGTCTTGGTTGCCTCTGTTAAGTACAAATGCCGCACGGTACTTACTGATAGGGCTTGGTCTACAAGTGGCAAAGGTGCCCAGGGTCAGGAAGGTAGAGGGCAGGGGAAGAGGAGGCCGGCCCGAGTCGCTGTGCCAGGACTCACCTCGCCGTCCTTGCCGTCCCAGGGCTCTCTGGTGCTGATGGTGGGGAAGGCCCCACCCCCCACAGGTGCGGTGGATCCTCGCCCGAAAGACAGCTCCCTTGGGGGACAGAGCAGAACAAGCACAGGTGTTACGGGGCTGCTGGGCAGAAGCAGCAGCAACCCGGGAGAGAATGACGCGCCCGTCGCGTTTACGAAGAGGCACTTCCCACAGTCATTCCTGGGAAACACCTCGTAAACGGTGTTATCTTCTCAATCAGGGACAACAGTACCAACCAGGCATGAAATTCCTAAGGCCTCAGCAGCAGATAAAGCCAGTTGCTAACAAACATTTAAAAAATGTATTGTTGCTAAAATGCAAAATAATGTAAAAGCTATCAAAGTTGAGAGTTTAAGAGCCCAGACAGGCTTTGGAAAGGTGGTGTTGTCAACCTAGAACTCTGTCCCTCTCCTCTGAATTATTCTAACGGGGAGCAGACGCCCTGCCGAGCGCCAGAGCCACAGCCTCTTGCTGATCCGGGGACGAGGTGGCACTTCTGTCACATCCCAGCTTCAGGGCAGATGAGAGCTCCACCGTGAAGAGCAGGTCAGGTCCTGCCTTGGGCAGGCGCAGACAGGAAACATTTCCCTGGAAAGACCCAGGGGCAGTCGCAGGCCCGAGGACTGGCTTCTTTAAAGGGGCCCCCACATCGTCTCTGGCGACGGGGGTCTGGAATAGGGTGAAGGGGGAAACCCAAGCAGGGCGCTGTGTCCGTGTGTCCGACAGCAGCTACCCGCATGCGGCGGGACAGCTGGCAGCCACCCCCGCACTGCCTGCAGCACACACCGATGGCTCTGGAACAGGGCTGGTTTTTGCCCCCAGAGGACACCTGGCAAAGTCTGGAAACATTTTTAACTGTCACAGTTAAAAATGAGTGTGCGGGACCAGCACCTGGGGGTCAAGGGCCAGAGATGCTACCGAACATCCTACAATGCGGAGCACGAAGAACGATCTAGTCCAAAAGGTCAAGAGCCAAGGTGGAAACACCTTGGTGCAGGTGCACCGCAGTCAGAAAGCAGGACGCAGCTGCTTTGCACCCATTCACGACCGTCCCCCGCACTGTTACTAGTGCAGTGGGGACAGGTGCTGACCGCCAGATGGACAGACGGGCAGAATAAAGAGGGGTTCAGCACAGAAAGCCAGATCTGCGTCTCACTCAGTCTGTCTAAAATCCATGCTAATAATAACAAAAACAAAATAAGACCTCGAGCTGGAACGACTCAATCTACTAGAAGGGGCACAGGCCAAGCCATCCAAGCTCTGGCCCCTGTGGGAAACACATGGCCCTGCGAACAGTGAAAAGAAAGCCGGGGGCTCTCCATCTTACTGGGCAGGCTATTTGCTACGTCTGGACAGCAGCAGCGAGCCCCCTACTTAATGTCGGAAGTGAGCGCAAACAGAGAGACGAGGGAAGATGCCAAACCTCCCTCACAGAGGAGCAAAGCTCCACGGGAACAGTGCCTTCAGGCAGAGTTCCAGCGCCCACCAAGTTTTCCCTCCCTTCTGCCACCGTCTTTGGGTGGAGGGAACCTGCTCTCAAACTGGACGGCCATGAACGTGCATAAAACTCAGGTCCTTCCGTCCCTTCTGGGTGCATGGTGCACTGTTAGACACCTGTGTTTTCTGGCTGCTACTCCAAGAGGAACACAGCGTGGCATCTTCAAGGAAAGATGCAGGGATCGCTGACGTGCTGGGTTGACCACTGCTACACCTATAAACTGTTAAAACTTCTCTCCGGGTTGTCCGGCCAGCCACATGGACGATGACGGCTCCTTCTCACCAGCTCTGCAACTGCCAGACCGCGGCAGGGCTGGGCGACGCGGCCCCAGCTCCCTGCCTGCCCAGCAGCCTGCTCACGGGTGAGGCACTCTGCACACACGTGGGCTCCTTAGGAGGAGAGACTCGCGTGGAGGCAGAAGCAGGCGCACTGCCCCGTACTCACTACCACACACTTTCCTCCCCCGGGAACCAGGTGGATCCTGAGGTTCTCTGCCACCTCCGAGACAGGACGTTTGAGAACCAAGGCACTGTCTCAAGTCCACGACGTGCTCTTGTTCCCTGTACCTTTCCCATGAAGCATTTACCTTCTCTGTACTCAAACGGGAAGAGGAAACTGGCTGAGAGTAAACGTGAGTAAAATTAAAGCTGGGGTCAGACGCTATACTTCCCAGTGAGGGCAAAGGTGCACCCTCACCGTCACCTACTCGCTACTCTCACACGCCTTCCGCATGTCTCTGTCATTGGAATCAGCGGCTGGAAAAGGACGAAGGACATTTTATAACTGTCTTCCTGTCAGTGTGCTACGTCCTGTTCAACAGGAAGCTTCCCGAGGGCAGGGAAGTCCTTCCTAATTGACACTGTTCCAGAGACAAGAAGTCAACCATCTGTTCATGAAATATTCACCAAGAGCTTATTACCAGCCAGGCTCTAGGGCAGGAGGTAGAGAGAAGACTCTGTGTACCAGAAAGTCGCCCCGTCAGTTATGCAGAGGAAGCCTCCATCAAGTAACCGCACCCCCGAGAGACAGCACAGGGTCAGCGCCTCCAGCCTGCCTTAAAGACGCTGCCGTTGGTTTCAGGAGGAGCTGAACCGCAAGGCAGCGTAGGGAGCTGCATAAACTGGTCTGAGTTTGAGAACCTATCATGTTGTTTCCCATCGCTGGAGTCACTTAAGTAGGGACACCCATTTTCTAATAACTACACTCTAAAGCCAATGCCCAGAAAGCAAAACCCTATCACCTGAGGTCAAGGGTACTGAGCATCTTCGGGTGGGAAAGGGGAGGACTGGGCTGCTTCTCGCCCACGAGGAGCTTTATGAGAATCTGGAAGAGCCCGATGTCCACCGAATAGAATGGCAAGTGACCTGAGAACAGGAAAGTATTAGCATTGTTCACTACTGTAGAATATTTCCGTGAAAAGAAAACAGAGCACCGCATGATGTAAAAGCTCCAAATTTATAAACATCTAATTCTCCAGAATGTTAAATGCACAGTAATTCCTTTTATTACCTGGTCTATATAAGCCTAGTTCCGAACCACAACCCACAGCAGAACCAAACAAAACAGCGAAACAATTACCTGAGAAACTCGTTAATGCCCTGCTCACTGAAGGACCCTTTGAGAAGAGCGAACTTCATCTTGCGCGCGTTAATGGCCGCCATGGCAGGGTAGCCAAACCCTCCGATGCCCAGAGCGCTCTCCAGCTCCGACTGGGCTCCAGCCTCTGTCCACAGCCACCTGGAAAAGCAGAGCGGCGTTCAGGACAAAGATCACTTTCAAACTAGTTAGAATCTAATTGGCAGATCTTAAAGAATAAAAGACTACACTTCCCACTTTCTATGGAATGAAATGGGTGTGGAAATAAGTAAAAAGGTAGGCGTGCCCTACCTTTTTCTAGATGTGCTCTTCTGTGGCACAGTTCCTCTCCGTTCCCTAAACCCTAACTCCAGGAGTCCCCTCGAAATGGCCTGGTCTGCCTGTAGGGCAGTTTCCCCAGCCCAGTCTCCAGAACACTGTCCACTGACCTCACGTTTTTGGTATCAGTATCATTTAGGTTATTATGTACGGTCTTTAAAAAGTGCAATAATGTCTTTTTAAAGTTATAGCCATGTCGTCCTTATTCAATACATATAAAAATGCTCAATTAAAGGTAAACTGCCAACATCTGGCAGTCACTCAGGAGAGGGCTAAGAACCAGCTCCACCTCCATTTCTTTATCTGTGCATCAAGGCCGTACTAGAATCTCGCTGCATTACTAATGAACTTCCTGCTTGCTGGCCTGGGGCCCCAGCAGCCACTTAGACTACAGTCCCTATGGAAAGAGGTGTGCTGCGGTAAAGGTAGGTGCCGTACACACAACAGACCTGCGTTACTTCTTTTCCTCCGAAGTGATACAAACACAGGAATGTGTCCCGCAGGACACAGAGGAAACCGGACCCTTTCAAGAAGCACTGAACTTCCTCCCCAGCTGACACAGAGACAGAGTTCAGTAACTCACCCCCACATTTTCTTCTTGTACTTGTCTGCCAACTTCAGAAGAACTTCCAAATAAGAATTTCTGCCTGCAGCTCCTGATGGAAACACAAAATTTCAGAGATGAAAACGGCGGAGTCTGCGGCGCTGATGGACGGGCAGCACGGAGCAGGAAGGAAAGGAGCGCCTGCCCCGCTTACCAGTGTCGAGAATGTGGGGCAGGACGGCCACGACACACAGCTGGTGATCCTCACACGTCTTCTTGGCGACGTCCTCGCTGACGATCTGTGGGGCCGGGAAGACAAGGCATGGAGGACAGCTACTGACACCGCCACTTGCCTTACAGAGCAAAGCAAGGGACTGAGAGAAGACACCTCCCAAATGGCACTTCCTGGTCCGCATTCCAGAAGCACCGGCAAAGCTGCTCTGCAGAGTCCCGCCCATTACCTACTGGTAGGCCGCCCACCTGCGGTGGTGACCAGGCAGGTGCACTGACGGTCTCTGGACTCAACGCCGGGCACAGCTCGGCTCTGACATGTAGCTTTGAGTGGGCAGATAGACGTATTCACGCACATCATGTGTTTATATGAACCCGAGGCTCACTGTGCCTCAGTTTCCTCATATACAGAGTGGAGATTAAAAGTAGCATTAACTCTAAGTGTTCACGTGAGGATGAGTGAGAACAATCTACGCAGAAACCCCAGAACAGAGCCTGTTACGTGGTTGGGTGCTAAGTAAATGCCAGCTGCTACTCTGAGAACGAAAAAGGAGAGACCCACTCTACCTTTAAGAAGCTCAGGTTCCCTTTTTCTCACGGTGCAATTATTTCAGTGCTAAAGTTATGAAAAGCAGCAATTAATCGGACAGGTCTGTCCCCTTGAAAGTACAGGAACACTTTTAAGAACATTTTAAAGGAGCAGGAAAAGAGCTTAATTTGAAAAGGCAGAGCGTGTCCTCAAGGCTTGGACACCCCCACTGTCAGACGGGACAGGCCGACCCGGCGCCGCCGAGCCAGCGCCTCACCTCCAGCAGCTCCGGAGGAGGGGCGTTATCGGAAAACAGGTCGAGGGCCCGGGAGACGATGTCAGACCTCGTCCGCCCTCCATCGTAGTCCACAGGAGACTCGCCTTTCTGAAATATCTTGATTGTAGGGAATCCCCTAATCTATGAAAAATCAAATTCACATTTGGTAAGAAGTAAGGAAACCTTTATGGTGTTTCCCAATCCCCCTTCGAGGTAACTTAATGGAACGAATGTCCAAGGGATGAGGCCCAGATCTGCCAGGTGGAGGTTTAATGACCCAACTGACAGGTGCAGCCACAATCAGAGTGTGGTCTGATTCAAACCCTGGACCACACTCAATGTATCTGCTCTAGAACAAAAGGCTGGCTTCAGAAGCCCCATGAGCAACCTGCAAAAGCTTGGGAAATCTAAAGGCTCATATCAAGCACATAATAAATAGTGAAACACTGGGGCAAAACCCCAATAACAGTCCCGAACTCCAGACTTCTTAGTCGTAACAACACAGCGACTCCGCAGGCTCGACACCCTGCCCCCAACTCCGAGGGCAGCCTGGCGCACTGGAAGGAGCAGCAGCGAAACCCGGGCATTTCACAAGGAACAGCCCCAGAGACGGACTCACCCCGTAGCGGCCGGCCAGCACCTGGTTGACCGTGGCGTCCACGGCCGCCAGTTTCACTTTTCCTTTCGTTTGCTCTTTGACCTCGGTAGCGGCAGCGGCCCACTCTGGCTCTAGGCTGCAAAAAAAAAAAAATCTTAACTCTCCACACAGATACTTTCACTGACGTGTGTGGTTCTGCTCAGCCCAGCTGTGTCACCCTTGGAAAACGTGTCCAGTGTGGCTCTGAGAGACAGGACGCCGCCTTCCAGGTGTGCTTCCCAGTCCCTCCTTTGTCACTCCCCTGCAACCTGGACGTTCGCTCCCTGTTTGTTAATCTTTGAGAGCATGAGAGAGGACCCGCTTGGCATTAATGCCAATGTTCACCACTTGTTTAGAGTCGGAGACTCTTGGGAGGAGACGCTGGTCCATCTGTGACCTGGCTCAGCTCTTTCAAAGGGCACCGCACATACTCACTCGGTTGGCAGGTCTAAAAGGTGCCAACCGAGCCCCTGGCCAGACAGACAGACAGCACTGGCGGCTGCACAGGCAGGCAGTGGGGTGGTCAAACGGGCGGGGAGGGTCGAAAGGGAAGACGCAGACAGAAAACCCCGGAGACAGGAGACAGCGAGAGCGAGGCGGCCCGAAAGCCCAGGACTCACTTTTTGCAGTGTCCGCACCAAGGAGCGTAGAACTCGACCATCCACACGTCTTCACTGTCCAGAACATTCTTATCAAAGTCGTCGTCGGTCAGCTCAATCACGTCTTTCTTACCTGAACTTTCACTTCTGCCCTGTCAGAGGGACATCACACAGCACGCTGCAGCGTGGCCACAGCACAGGACCCTATTGTCAATGCTCCCGCCACAGACACTGCCTCTAGGAGTCAACAAAGTTTCTGAGTGTTCAAGTGAAAACTGCTTTACTCAAATTAGGGACACTGTGTAATACTATTATTTCATTTTTGCTTGAACACTTTCAAGCAATTACCAGCACATTCAGTATAACACATAACACGTGTCTGAATTCTGCCACTTGCTATTTTTCTTGAGAGAGACTTCAGCACGGCTCCAAGAGTCATGCTGATAACCGGCTCTGATTCGGACCCAAGTACAGCTGCTGGCTACCCCAGGGGGCTACACATCACTGCCCTTCCTGCCTTTTCACAAGGTCTCCACCATTCGAGAAGGCGAACAATGACATCCAGTCCTCTCCTTTCTTCAAATACTTCCCTTCAACCCTTGGCTCCGTGGCCTGGGCCCACAGGCGTGGAGCTCGGGGAAGCGACTGCGCTCATTAAATGTCTACACTGGAAGTAAAAGGCAAGAACACAGAACCTCTGGATGTGCTCCCAGCCCACACAAAGAAGCTAGCTCTCCTGGTCCCCTACAAGAGCAGAGGGCCTTCTCATCTGTATTTATCAGTAAAGACCCCCTGTCTCTTCACAAGCTCATAAGCACAGGTCATGGGAAATGTCACATTTCACAGATGAGCATCTGAAGCACCCACCCACGGATCAGGAAGTTCTTTTTCATCTTCGCTATGCATTTACGTAGAACTGTCCTTGGATTTTGGGCCTGCGGCAGCAGATACAGGCCAAGAGGTTACCCAAATTTTGCCTGTTTGCCCAGTCAATCTGGAGGACAGCTGGCTCCCCTCCCCCCACTATATAACGACGTGACAGAGTGGCCTGGAGCTGTCCCCTCTGCAGCCCACACTCTTCCACTGCAGCCCTGGCCGAGGTGGCCTCTCTGGAGGCTGGGTCTTGGCCTGAAGTTTGGCAAGATGTCCTCGGCCTGACCAGCTATGGTGTCGTTGGCTCTGAGGAGGCTGAACATGTGCACTGGATGTCTGATTCCCTTCAGACCCAACGTCCCATTATCGTTCAATTGTAAGTTTACTGATTTATAATTTAACAAACCTCACAAACAAACCTACCTTCTACAAGGGGTCTATCTCAGGCTTCAGAATCGTCACACACCATAAACAGACACGATAAAGCCTCACCTGTTTTCCAGAACTGTATCCGCCACCCTTTCCGCCCAGGCGGTCCTTGACGAGCTGGCGCACGGCGCTGAGAGCAGCGTCTACGATGGCCTCGGCAGTTCTGCCACCTGCAGGCAGACAGGGGCCTGAGCACACAGCGGCAGGCGGGCTGCACGCCTCTCTGCACCCAGGCGCTGCAGCTGGGACTCAATGACGATGACGACAGCCTTTGGGAGTCTGCCAGAGCCTGGGTGCTCGACAGCCAGGGGCTGTGAACGGGCTCAGAACTGTGAGGGCAGCACTATATGCCAGGAGGCGAATTTCAGAGTTCTAACGCAAACTCTAATGTTCAGAAAGTCGCAACTTTCTTTTCTAAAAAACGACTTTTCTAATCAAACTCCCAAGGAAGAGATGAAACCTGAGACCACCTCAGACACGGCCTAAGAAAACCCAGTACAGCACCACGCAGAGCGAGTTCCACCTCGCTGGTACTGCGACCCCGGCGGGACCCCCAGTGCCGCAGCCTGGACAGAAGGGCAGTGAGGAGCCCCAAACAGGTCCTTCCCACCAGGCTTTACTTGGAAATAGTCCAAGTCAAGAAACAGACAAGCACAAAAGGCAAAGAGGCCCTGGCTGGTGTGGCTCGGTGGACTGAGTGCTGGCCCACAAACAGAGGGGTTGCCACTTTGATTCCCAGTCTGGGCACATGCCTGGGCTGTGGGCCAGGTCCCCGGTGGAGGGCGCATGGGGGGCAACCACATACTGATGTTTCCCTCTTCCCCTCTCTCTAAAAAGTAAATAAATAAATAAAAGCCAGAGAGGACTTTCTTACTCTAGACCAAGGGTTGGCAAATTCTTCCTTTATTTACAAGAATGGGCAGCAAGAGAAATGCAACCCTACTCTCAACATTCGATTTTTGTAAATTAGCAAAACAAATTATTATTCTGAAGCAGAGAAGCAGATGTTTATTCAGAAAAAATGAAACTCATCATTTATCAAACTTCAGGGCTGGGAGCCCAGAGGAAAGGATGCAAGGTTTCCCAGTACTTTGAACCCAGCTTGGCGACATACCAACTACACTGTATTCACCAAGTCACAGGGTTCATGTGAGCCTTCCAGTGGCAATGTAGGTTTCACAAGCCCATTTCACACCAAAGAAGCAGGTCCAGAGTTAAGTATTCTAATTGGGTTGGCCAAAAAGTCCATTTGGTTTTCTCCATAAAACAAAGACCTATTTTTCATTTTCACCAATAACTTTACTGATTTAGATATTCTGAGTATGTCGCTTGCTATTGGCTTCTACTGGGGAGAGGCTGGGGCGCTGCTGAACATCTTCCAGTGCATAGGACAGCCCCACGGCAGAGAGTTGTTTGGCCAGAATGTCACAGTACCAAGAAATGTCACAAACCACTTCTGCCACATTCGATCAGTCACAGTATCTTCTCCACGCACTGCACAAATCTTTTGCATTTCAGTTGCATGTTTACCTTCCTTGAAATAATAATACATAATATACTGAAAATATCGTGTATCTTCTTCCATCTTCAATATTAAAATGACTGCACAAAAATTCACCAATTCTGCTTAGTTTTTTTTTAATGCAGGCTGATATGACAGCTGTCACAATACAATCTAACAAAATTGTTTCAAATGAAGTTAAAGACAACTAAACACTACTAGAGCCACCATACGGAAAAGCCAGAAGGACTTTTCGACCAGCCCAACATTTAGCTGTGAAGCCGCAGCGTGGTGAGGCCCCAGCGCGGCTCTCACTCTCCAGATTCTGCGCTCCCCCCGAGCTCCCCCTTCGGAGAACGTTTTGTCAGCTGGGCCACCAAGCACGGGCGATACAATAACACTGTTTTTCCGGCATGCTGATTCTGCAACGCCCCCCCTCTGCAAACTTGTTTTTCTCACATAAAGCAAATCTGAAGATGTTTGACTTATGAAGTTGCCACTTATTTATATGTCCAAAGTACTGAATCTTAAAAAAAATATTTATCAAGTGAGCTTTAAACTTTAAATACCTTATGCCCAAAACTTTTTATTATGACCATGAACACGGCTCAACCTAGCAATGCTGATTATCTTAAATACGATAACCTGCTTGGGACATCTTACATAAAACAATAGGACTATTCTATAAAAGAACACATGGGGTAACTAAAGTAACATTCAGCTTCCAGAGTCTGGAGCCAGAATCCTCTCTCCGGCTGCCTCAGTGACCAGGAGCAGTTCCTCCTGAGGCCCTTATCTACGAACCGGGCAGACCGCGCAGCCCTCAGCAACAGCTCGGGGGCCTGAGCAGCAGCTTTAACACCGAGTTCACAGCGTCCACAGCGGCACCGCGGGCAGTTTGCAAGGGCTTTCCCATCACGGGCCCTCTTCGGGCCGCTGTGCTAGACCCTTTCCCCACTGCAGAGGGAAGATCACAGCAAGAGAACATTGGTAAATCTTCACTCAATATTAAGTGACTATAAAATACTAAACAGCTAGTAAATTTTAAAAAATTGTGATGAGAAAGACAAGAGGGAAGCACAGAACACCATTACTCCATCGTCGCAGAGCTGCAGGGCAGGGCACTCCAGCCAGGGCAGCCGCCAGCAAGTCCTTACCCTGATAATCTTCTGGCCTGTTTTTGTTGGAGCCGAAAATCTTGATGGTAGGGAATCCCTGCACCCCATACTGCCCTCCAAGGGACTGGTGTTTGTCTGCGTCAACGGCGCCCACTTTCACGACACCCTGCGGAGAGAGACGTGAGAGAAATGCCTGTTTCAACCTGAGAGGATTCCACAAGAACCTTCATCTGATTCGCGTCAACTCAGAGACAAGAGAACAAAGGGCAGGGGTACATTTACACCCAGAATGAGTTGGGGCTTTAGTCTGGGAAGCCATTCCCAAGTGGAATGATGGGTAAAACACAGATTAGCCCAAGGAATGGAATTAGCACAAATAGACAACACAAAAATTAAAATGTACATTACACCTTTGTTTCCTACATGATTCTATCACTAAAACAAGAATCTTGAGCTTTAAAATTGCAAATTAGCTTCTTATACATGAAGTCATTTGCATAATTCAAAACATACACAGGTACATGTAGACACTTCAGAAACTTACTTTTAACGCAGTTGCTACTTTCTTCCATTCTGGAGTCAACCTTTGGCAGTGGCCACACCTTTCAGAGAAAAACATAACACAATAGTTAAAGCCGTCCATCCCTGATTCAAAAATCACCCGCCAAGTCTGCTGAGTGACGGCCACAGGGACGGGGCTGTGACGAGTACAAGCACCCGTGGAACAGGAACCTGAGGGAGCTTGGTCTTCTACGACTTTGCTGCGATTCCTTCCCATCTTGTAACTTTACAGCGTTTCCAAACTGCTGCTCAATCCAATTATGTTCAAGTCGTTTAAACAAACTCCATCACTCCTAACTGGACACCGGGGCCGGAACTTCAGTGCGCATCCGGTCAAGTGTCCCTCAGCGTGCGGCTCGAGCTGCACGATGAGGCAAAGTGCGGTTTCCTGGGCCCAAGAAACCCAAGATCCTAGGAAAAGAGGTTTGGGAACCTGCATGTTCATAAATTCTGCTCCAGAAGGCGGGGAGCCGGCTGTGAGACCTGCCGCTGGGCCCCATCTGAACTGTGCGGTAAAGCAGGACTACAGACGCACGTGCAATTCATTTTAATGTTTTGATTAGGTTAGTATTTTAGGTTTTCTTTGTGATCCTATATGCTTCACCTTCACCAACTTGCCAAAGTACAAGCACAAAAAGAGGCTGAAGGTGTCTGCTCCAACAAAACAGTCCTGCACCCTGACCACTGGGAAGCGAACCCTGCCCGGGGGGCGGCAACAACTGGCCCTGGATCCGGGTCCTGCTTCCTGACCGTGCCGCCTGGCTTCGCTCAGGAGTGAAGCATGTTCTTATACACGCTAGTTCCCAGAAACCAAGTAAATTACTCATGCCAATAAACAATAACTATGTGTTCATTTACTAACACCAACGAACTAGCCCATATAAAATTCACACTTGGATTTAACAGCCAAAAAAACAAATAGGAGCTTTTAAAAAAATAATAAAGGCATTAAGATTAACATTATTCATGATGTGGCAGCATCAACTTTCAAAACAGAGGGTTTTGCTTTCATTTGCTACCCTGATGAACATTAAGTAAAATATTTCATGAGGACTGGTATTACGTTTCTAAAACTCAGTTCCATGGTCCTCCAAAGGAAAAACTGAAGCAATAAAGTCAGGTATACTAAAATACTAAAATCTCAGGTAAGAATGTGGCTGACCACCCCAGGTGAGCTTTGAAGGCACATTTCACATCAGAAAGGACCCCTCTGGGTCTCACGCAGATCAGCCCACAGTCCACCTGCGCACACGCTAGCTGGAGCTCGGGTCTGCTCCCGGACACCGTCGCCAGCTCCTTTACAGCACTGACCACGGTCTCGTGTGCATGTTGCACCATTTCCACTGACCTATCTCTAAACTTCTATTTGTTGGGTTTTTGTTTTGTTTTCATTAAACGTTTCAACTACACTCTGTGTTCTGACTATATATAACTGTACACTATTAATTTCAATAGTTTAAGTACATCTTTACCCCACAAGGGTTTTTTTCCAACAATAAATTTAAGGCGAGGGAAGAACTATTAAATCAAACCAAATTTTTTAATCACGAATCTCTGGAAGCAACCCTCTTCGATAAACAGAAGGGTGCCGGTCACCAGCTCTTCCCTGTTCTCTGCCCCACGTTCTCCCTTCATAAATCAGTTCCCGGTCCATCTCCCTGCTACTTACCCCTCACAGGGATAAATCGTCTTCAAGTTGTAAGGGTTTTTTCTCTCTTTCTTCTGTCCTGCGAAAATTAGCTCCCTCACCCACTATTTTTCACTTGACTCAATCTCCATGGCCCTTAACACACACTTTGCGGAGTCTCCCACTTCCCTCTACTTCTTAAGTAGGTAAAGTAGGTGGCAGAATAAAATCACACTTTATATAGTATTTTTCCTTGTAAAGTAGGATAAACGACTGACAATATTTTATAATACTTACCATGGTGCAAAGAATTCTACGAGCCACAAACTATCACTCTGAATAACTTCGTGGTTGAAATTTGATGGGGTTAATTCGATGACATCATCACTAGAGGAATACAGACCCTTCGCTGTCAGGAAGAAGGTGCAGCTCACCAGACCTGGAGAGACCAAGGGCAGACCATTAACGGCAGGGCTCATGCTGACAGGAAACCCCAGCAACCAGAGTCTTCTTCAACTGATGGAGGCACCCCCCCCCCACCCCGGCCAACCTGTGCAGGAACAGGGCTTGGGGCAGGCCCCTCCCAACGCTGTGCTGGTGCCTCTGCCCCCCCGTCACCCTGGGAGCCCCTGGCATTTTACTCCCTCGGGTGCAGTGCCGAGCGAGAAGGGAGCTGCACTGGAAGAAGGTTTACGTGTTGTTGCCAATGCCTCCACGCTCTGTGGCCGCCCTGTGCGGTGGGACTCCTGCTGCCTCAGGTGGGCGAGGACACTGGGAAGTTGGGAGGCTACGTCCAGCTACTACCCGAGTAATCCGCACAGTATTTATTTCTTACATTCCTCAACTGCAGTATTAGCACGCCATCTTTATTAAAGCATTTTGGGTTGTATTATATTTATTGGGGTGACACTGGTTAACACAATTATACAGGTTTCAGATACACAATTGTGTAACAATCAAAGCTTTTTTTTTGTAGGGAGAAATATCTGTTTCTCCTACTAGACTGGGACTCTCTCAAGAACTCCTAAGTCTTTTGAATGGCAACACACCATCAAAATTTCACCTCCTCCTTTAAGATTTATATGTAATTTCATGTTTTCTAGTCACATTGTTTTATATCTCCAGAACAATGTTGAATAATGGAATGTTCTTGACTTCAGCAGAAATATTTTCCCATTTTCATGGTGCTGCCTTTTGGGTTGAAACAGGCAAACTGTATGTCATTAAAGAAATTTCTATCACTGTCCTTTCAGCATCTATGAGATGCTCACACTCCGTCCCTCAATCTGCTGACACAAGGAATTCAAAAGGAGACTGACCTATCCCCAAGGCAGGGTGTGCGCCTGCGCCACCGCAGTCACATCTTCCTGTGCTCACCTCGTAGTCGGAGTTGGGAAGATGTCAAACGGAGCTTTTGAATGAGCCAGTGGTAAATTCCTTTTGGAAGGCGTGCACACCAATGTGAATTTTTTTCCAATGTGAATTGTTTTATTGCTAAAAAGTCTACCTAATACTTACACAGTGCCTTCGATTTTCAAACTGTTTTCCACTACATCAGGTCACTTGACTTTCCGCAGCATTACCAACGGGACAGCATCACTAACTACAGGGGGAATGAGACCAGGGGCCCGTCCACACGCCCCTATGCATGTAAGTGGCAGAGCAGCGATATGACTTCTATTCCCAAGTTTTTCCATTAAACTGCGCTGTGTTTTTAGTGCTCAAGATCAGAAGGTTGTGTGCCAGGGGCGTGAATAAACAATCACACTATTCAAGACTACTGCGTCTGAATGACAGAGCCTGCGAATGGAGGAACGTGACACGAAACTGTCGACTCTGCTAATGGTGATGTGATGTGATGTGATGTGATGTGATGTGATGTGATGTGATGTGACGGTGACGGGAAGCCACTAACGGGTCACCTCGGGGGTGGGGGTGCAATCGGATTTGCTTTCTAGAAAGGGTCTGGCTGCAGTGTGGGCAGTGGACCGGAGCTGTCAGGAGGGCAGTGTCACACAAACCAAGGGCAAGGTGGGACGAGCTACAGTAACAACTGCTACTGGGAGCTCAAGCAGGAAGGACTGGCAACTGCACCGGCTCTCACGACAAAGAGGTCACTGGCAGCCGGGGTGGGCCCAAGGAAGCAAGCAGCAGCACTCTGAAGGAGCCTGGAGAACAGGAGGGAGCACGATGGCGAAAACAGTACAGGTGACTGTTGAAATGAGTTTCATTATAAAGAGCAGCAGAGCGCAAGCAAAAGTGGGAGGGACAGAAGGCTGGTTTCATTGTAAAGGTGGGAGTGGACCAAGCACAAAAGGAAGAGGTACGGGCACAGGGAAAAGCTAAAGATAAAGCACAGAGAATCATGAAACAGAATAAAGTGCCCAGAGTCAGGAGGAGGGGAAGGGACCCCCAGTCTGTGATGGATGACCTCCTCCTCCATTTTTCAGAGGATACATTCACTGATACAAGAGAAGGTGCAGGCGGAGGGGGGGGTGCGGGAGAGAAACACTAGTATCTGTTGCCCTTGGTATGTGCCCTGACTCTGGGCCAAAACCCGCAACCTGGGCACGTGCCCTGACACAGAAGCAGACCCACGGCCTTTTGGTTTACAGGATGATGCTCCAACCAACTGAGTCACACCAGCCAGGGCTCCTCTTCCATTTCAAGAGGTGGGAAAGGGTGGATGATGAGGCCAACCTAAGTGGCTCCCTCGGTAACTGTGCTGTCCAGTGTGGTAGCCATTAGCCATCCACGGCTACCCCACACCGAGATACGCTGCAGTGTAAAAAGCACACTGTATTTCAGAAACTCGGTGGGAAGGGAAAAACTATCTCATTAATATTTTTGATATTGATTACATGCTGAAATGGTATTTTATGCAAATGGTATTTTAGATATATTGGGTAAATAAATACATATTAAAATGAACTTCACTCATTTCTTTTCGCCATTGAAATGCAGCTATTAGAAAATTTTAAATTACACAAGTTTACACTGCATTTCTGTTGGACGGTGCTGCCCAACAATCCTCACTGCTGCAGGAAAAGTCAACTAGAACGTGATATATCCAGTGAAGGGAGTAAATTAAGAACCTGAGCACCCTGGCTGGTGTAGCTCAGTGGATTGAGTGCGGGCTGCGAACCAAAGGGTCATCAGTTCGATTCCCAGTCAGGGCACATGCCTGGGTTGTGGGCTAGGTCCCCAGTGGGGGGGCCACGTGAGAGGCAACCACATAGTGATGTTTCTCTCCCTCTCTTTCTCCCTTCATTCCCCTCAAGAAAGAAAGAAAGAAAGAAAGAAAGAAAGAAAGAAAGAAAGAAAGAGAGAGAGAGAGAGAGAGAGAGAAAGAAAGAAAGAGAGAGAGAGAGAAAGAAAGAAAGCAAGAAAGAGAGAAAGAAAGAAAGAAAGAAAGAAAGAAAGAAAGAAAGGAAGAAAGAAAGAAAGAAAGAAAGAAAGGAAGGAAAGAAAGAAAGGAAGGAAAGAAAGAAAGGAAGGAAAGAGAGAGAGAAAGAGAGAAAGAAAGAAAGAGAGAGAGAAAGAAAGAGAGAAAGAGAGAGAGAGAGAGAGAGAGAGAGAGAGAGAGAGAGAGAGAGAGAAAGAGAGAAAGAAAGAAAGAAAGAAAGAAAGAAAGAAAGAAAGAAAAACCCTGAGCAAAAACAGTCTTAATTCTACATAAGCTTAAGAGACAGGCCAGTCCTGGAGAATTCCCTATGGAGATCCACTTCATTTAAAGAAGCTTATCTGGTTTTTTTTTTGGGGGGGGGTATGTGGGTGAAAATGGATACATATTAATACTTGTTCAGTACACTGCGTTCATTGTGAAAATTTCAAAAATGGAAAAGCCAAGGCAAAACCACCCAGTCCCCTCCATTCATATTTGCACTGACATCTCCATGCAACACAGGACTAGAACTTTATTATTACTTTGTGTAAATGGGCCATACATACATGCACACACATACATATATGTATTCCCTTCTGTAATCTCTGCCACTCAAAATAAGTTAAACACAGTCTGTGTAATAATTATGGACTTACTGCCCCATGTAACCATCTCGATGGCTGTCTCCTGACAGAATCTGTTTCCCATTTTTCACTATTCACAGGCCAATGCTGAAAATGCTTACTACTCCCTCCCTGCAATGAATATGATTACTTAAAAAAAATCTTACAGGGGTACTGGGGATATGGCTAACATTTTGATATATTTATCTGTTGAACTATCCTCTAGAAACTGACATCTTAACTAAGAACAACACTTCTATGATGCTATGTGTCAGGTATTATCCTAAATACTTAAAATGCATTAACTAATTTAAGAACTGTATGTGGTATATACTATCACGTTCGTTTTTAGACCAGAAAATGGAAGCAGAGAAAGGTAACTTACCCAAGGCCATATAATTAGAAACAGAACCTGGTTATGTAACCCGATTTTTAACCAGAGGTCTAGAGACTGCAGAAGCCTCATTCCGAGGCGGTTGGGAAGGCCCTCAGGCAGGTGGTGGCAGAGGGTCAGGCTCCTCCCCTCGTCTCCGCCCACCCAGAAAGCTGTAGAGACTGCACTGTCCTCTTCGGGCTCCAGCCCCTAAAGGGATGGTCCCTGACTCTGACCTCAGGAACTTGCTTCCTTTCCATACAGAGATGGTCATGTCTACTGACACTCACTATGACATGAACTTGGGCTACTTTTTCCCTAGTAGGGGTGTTGGACTTTTGTCTTTTTAACTTTTGCCTGGTCCTCACAAGAGCTGTCCCTCTTTATAAGTGGCTATCCAATGGAAATGCCTCAATGCTAAAGCTTCAAGACTGAAACTCCTTAAAAGGGAGTATGACCTAGTAGGTTGAGAAGGATATCAAACATAATTATCTGAAAAACAGATTAAAAGATGTATAAATTCCAACAGTGAAAGTATAACCAGAAAGGACTCCACAAAATCCCTCAAGAAAACAAAACCTCTGGGCCCACTTAAGATGATAAACAGCTAAGTGCTGACCAATATGGTTCTGCTCCTAACGACCCCACCGCTGCTCCACTCCCTGGGAAGGAGCACCCTCGGGGACCCAGGACACCGGCCTCTGGGCGCCCCATGGCTTTGCTGCGATCCCTCCCAGGAGCGGAGGATGCTCTAAATCCACGTCGGTAACATCTCCCAGGAGTGCACGGCCTCAAAGCAGTCATCTCGAAACCAAGGGGGCTCCCCCAAGCGCTGCTTACATTCATTAAAACAACCAGTCAACTGGTGGAACCGCGGCCCCTTTCAGAGCTTGGTCTGAGTTCATTTGTGGGCAACTTTTAAACCGGGACAGCCCCCACCCCCCGCCCCCCGTCTATTCCCTCCGCAGCGACACAGCAAACGTTTCTATCTTGCTTCCTCCCTTCAGACGTGCATTAACTCGTCGCTCCTTCGAACAGCCCGGCGGACTACTAGCCCCGACGGATTGAGGAACTTGCTCTGGGTCACACAGCGGGCAGCGGGGCTGGGTGGGAGTCGACCCTGGGGGTGGGGGTGGGGCATCACCACCACGGCGCTGTGACTGGGACCCAGAGGAGCCCGAGAAGGGCGGGATCCTCAACTTAGCTCACCGTAGTCTTTCAAAGAGACTTACATAATTCAAGAAAGCCTCGGTTCGATTTAGTTTTTAAAAGTTCGGTCACCTTTAAAGTGCGTTTGCATCGTAAGGCCACTTTTCAATGGCACTGTTCCCTTTAGAGAGCGGCTACCAGGCCCGACTTCAGCACTGGGTTTTGATAGTTCAGTTTTTCTTAGAAGTGGGAATTCCATAAACCAAGTGGTGAGGAAAAGAAGCCGTACGAGGAGCACGTGACTCTCCCGTACACAGTCGAGCCCGAGGTCCCTTTTAGGCTGCGCCCCAATACTCACCCTCCCCCAGGTATGAAGTCAGGCAGATCTCAGCGGCTCAAACGCAGCTCCTAGCCCCTGCTCGCGCCCGGCCGCCCCCACCCCCCACCACCAGTAGGTCGGTACCGACGCTCGGACCCAGGCTCGGGGATGTCCCGAGAGGCCCCGAAGTTCGGGCCCAACCTCGGGGCTTCCTTCACCCCGCCACGCTCGTGTACACGGTCCCCCCACGGTGGGCTACGGAAGCCCCCGCAAACGGCAGCCCCAGTCCCCGGGACTCCCCAACCGTCCCCCTGCGGGCTCACGGGCTTCCCAGGCAGCGTCCTCGCGCAGGCCAGGCCCGCGAGCCCCCACCCCAGAGCGGACCCTGCCGAGGCCACGCGCCTGCCGGCTCCCGGGGCCGAGAACCGCCGCGAGGGTTCGGAGTCTTCAAACTACACCCCCAGGACCAGGAGGGCCGCGCCTACCGAGCACCAGGCGAGCCATGCCGAGCGTCCGGGCCGCCGCGCAGTCCTGCCGCCGCCTCAGCTCTGCCTCGCCGCGCCCCCGTCACCCCACGTCCCGCCCTCGGTCCGCGCGAGGCCTGAAGCAAGCAGTGCGCTGAGGGCGGGCCGGAAGGCGCTCGCCAAGCCGTGGCCGCGGCTCATTGGTCCCTGAAGGCTTCTTTCATTCGCATAGCCAATGAGATGTGGCCGGGTAGAGGTTACGGGTTTGGGTTTTTTTAATAAAGGCGGAGCCAGCGGCGGAAGGAGGGACTTGCTGGGGGCGGGACTGTCCAACCTCTCCATTCTCGTTGGCCCTCTCCCCTTGCCAACCACCCCCTTCCACAGGCCTTTGGAGTCCACTATTTGGTTTTTCTTATCTCTTGGTTCCTTATTCTCTCTTTAACCCACGTTGACTCCAAGGAGCCCCTTTCCAACCCTCATTCATCCTTGGCCTCCCCATCCCTTTTCCTCTTTGTCTCCTGGGAGAATAACTTTCTTTGGGCCCTGAGTACATCCAGGACCTTATTAAATTATTAATTTTTCTTGTTCCCGGATTAGTACTCAGTCAAAAAACACTTGCTAACCACGTGCTATATATAACCTGTGTCAACAAGTATTTTGTTGAATTGCCTTAAAAGTTGCCATGTCCTGGGCACAGGACTGTGCAAAGCCTTTCTCAGACAGAACCACGTTCCCTGCAGGACTTAAGCCTCAGTGCTCCTCCCCCGGTTTTCTTCTTCGCCCTGGGTGGGGCCCTCGCAATGCCTTCATATGGTCTGACATCTTGTAAGATTTGCAAAACTGTTTGAAGTATAATAGACCAAGACTAAGGAATCTTTCCACTCTGATTTCCCCTCCTATGTTTGGAGTAGACTTGAGCATTTTGGTTTTTTATTAGTAATAGTTTCATTCTCTCCGCCGCCTAACACATAACATAGCTATGATTCTGGCAAAAGCGTTTATGAGCACAGTGAGGTCCAGGAATGGTAATGACTAGTAGGAAGGCACTAGACCTGAGTCTGGAAGATTTGCTAGACAAGCAGGAGAATGTCTTTCTGGGGGAGAGGGACCCATAGGTGTGAAGAAGGCATAGACAGGTGAACCTACACGGTGAAGAGGAAGCCGCAGCCAGTGCCCGTTTGGGGGTGGTGCTGGGGGCTGTGGGACATGGTGAGACCTTGAGACTGTAGTAAGCAGGCTTGCCTCTGTGGATCCCTGAGTTTTAACTCTCTAAGATCTCTTCGAGTTTACTGATGCTGTTGAAAAATCTAGGACTTGGTGTGTCAGGGTAATTAATGGTGGCCTCTAAAACAACCCTAAAATCTCATTGGTTTATACTGTAAATGGCCGTTCCTTGCTCTCACTGGGAGTGGCTTTTCAGGTGATGACTGGGGGACTCTGGCTCCACCCACCAGACAATGTCGCCATCTTCTGAAACTGTGCACTCTCAGTCAAGGTGGGAAGTACTGTCCCCAACGGGGCAAAACTGGCTTGTGGAGGGAAGGAGATGAAAAAAAAAACCTTAGATATTCCTAGGGCTACAGTATATAAACAGATACAGAGTATATCCGTGCTTTTCAAATTTCATGGGAGAGAGGAAATTAGGAAGTGTCTAAAAAGGCTCCTTAGGAGGATGACAATGAGAAAGAAGAAAGAGAAAGGCAGAGAAACACGGTTCTAGAACAGGGCTGTTCAACAGAAATACAATGTGAGCCACGACAACATATCAAATTAAAAATTTTCTAGTAGTCACACTAAAAAGGTAGATTAATTTTAATAATATGGTTTAAACCAAGATATCTCTAATGTTATCATTTCAACCTGTCATTCTATAAAATGATTAATAACCTATTTACTAACCTATTCTTTTCATCCTAAGTCTTTGAGGCCCAAAGACTTGGGCCTCAAAGTGTATATTAAGTGTATATTAATATGTAAGTGTATATTAATATGTATGTGTATATTTTACACTTACAGCACACCTCAAAATAGCCACGTTTCAAGTGCTCAACAGCCACATGGAGCTAGGGGCTACTCTATCAGACAGCACTGTTCTGGCTCCTCCTCAGAGTCCTTGCTTGGCTCTTCTGCATTCGACTGACGAGAACAAAGAGAACAAGGAGGGTTGCACAGGGAGTTTTGACCAGGCCTGGCACCATCCTTTCACTTGGATTCCATTGGCCAGAAGCCCCAACTTAACTGCAGGGCATGCTGGGAAATAGTCTTCTCTGGCCGGGAAGAGAAATTGCACAGATTAGGATCCATCTAATCTCCTCTGCAGTCTGGGCTCCAAATATCCGTGCTTGTCTTCCTCCACACTAGGGTAGACACAGTCCCTCCCCAAAGGGGCTACACCCAGCTCAAAGTCCTGGATATCTGGGAGATGTGCTGACCCTCTAGGTCAGGGTGTGAGGCCCCCGGGTACAGAGCTTGTGAACTGAAAGAACGAGCTATCCTCCCACCCGCAAACCCCTGAAGTACAGTGTTAGGGCAGGCAGGAGAATCATAAACACTACCTGTCAGGAAGGAGAAGAGTAGACACAGAACCGTCCCTGGTTAAGCAATTCTGAAATCCCGAGGGGTGGGCCTGATAGGGCTTCACACTGGGCAAAGGTGCCTCCTCATCAGGGTCAGGGTCAGGTTCAGGGTTGGCCCCTGGGGAGGAGGAGGGAGGGGAGACGCCTGCTCTCCTGGGCTCTGTCCCCTCTTGCCTGTGGAAGTTTAGGGGCCCAAGGTCTTTTTTGTTTTGTGTTTTTGCCTTTTGTTTTAAGTGACTTTTTATTGAAATGTAACATTGTCAGGGACTAAACAGTGTCTCCCCCAAATCCATTATGTTGAAGCCTTAACATCTAAATGACTGTATTTGGAAATTGGGCCTTTAATGAGGTAATTGAGGCTAAGTGAGGTCATGGGGGGGGGTCCTAATCCAATAGGACAGGTTTTTAAGAAGAGGAAGAGACACCAGGAGTGTGCATGCGCAGTAAAGACCACGTGAGGACACAGCCGGGAGGCAGTGGTCTGCACACCAAGGAGAGAGGCCTCAGGATAGACCAACCCTGCCAGCACCTTGACCTTGGACTTCCAGCCTCCACAACTGTGATATAATACATGTCTGTGGTTTGAGCCCTCTAGTCTGTGGTACTTTGTCATGGCCACCGGGCAGGCTAATATCTTCAATACAAACATACATACTAAATAGAGCACAAGTCTTTAAGGGTAACAGCCCCTTGACCTCTTCCTAAGGTGAACAGCCCATGTAAACAGCACCCCAGAACCACCTGCTGCACCTCCCAGAAAAAAATAGCTAATACTGTATATGACCGTCATGTGTTAGCTTTGCCTAACTGGGCACTTCATAGAATCACACCTGTGGGCAACAGGATGGTGATTGCTGGGGAGAGTGTGCATGAGGGGGATCAATGGTAACAGAAAAAGTATAATACAGTAAACATATGAATAAAATACACATTAAAAATAATAAATAAAACCCCAGCTCCACCACTCAGTGTAAAAATACAACCACCAGTATGCACTGTATCCGGCTTCTTCCGCTCAGAGTTCTGCTGGGCGGCCCATCCGCATGATATGTAATTGCTGGCTGTGCCCACTGTGTGCACGGACCACAGTCTGTGTTCTCCTCGTGGACACGGGGGTGGTTTCCACACACATCGGAGGGTCGGCACAGGGCACCACCCGACGGACCAGAGGCTCACCATGTGGCCGGTGCCACAAGCTGTTTTCCAGGTGCTGCCGAGTGTACGATGGCCATTTTGTACAACAGTTTAAATCTCAGCTCCAGCCGACACCTCCTCCCGAACACAAATTGTTGAGTAGGCCTGAGGTTGTTGAACCAGGGCTGCCCTGTACAAGAGAGCTATGCTTGACTAGGACCCCCAAATCTGCTCGTCTCCAGAGTTGGGGGTTCGGTGCTTCCCTCAGCAGCTGTGCCAAGGCCTCGAGTGGCTGGATGCTGAGCGTAGAACAAAAGAAATACAGAAAACGCGGTCCCAGCCATCAAAAGGTAGGCTTATCGGTGCACTTTGCCTAGTCTAGAATATTCTGGCTCTTCTTGGAGGGTTTGAATTTGAAAGCTAAAGTATGAAGGTGGCTTGGCAGCAGATGCAGGCAAAGGAAGTGTTCATTGCACACTCTCATCCACTCCTTCCCTCCCTCTCTGGCTCATTCGACCAATATTTGCTGAATATCCACTTATTTCTGGCACAGTGCGGTCCTGGGCTGCTAAGATGCCTAAGAGAGGCTCCCTGTTCTGAGCTGCATACCTGGAACTAGCACAAAACAATACAGAATGTAAACTGTGATTGAAAAATAAAATAAAAGAGAGGGAGCAGTCTCCTGCCCATAGATGCCCGCAGCCCAATGCAGAGAGCAGGCCGATAAAAAGCTACGAAGAAGGTACGGACAGAAAGTTCTATGAGACCCCAGGGCAAGCAAGCAACTGCTCCCTTTTGGGGAGTCTGATGTTGAAGAGGGTTCCTGGGTGGTGGGGGACTAGAAGGGGGCCGTTCCTGGCAAGTGCAGCTCAAAGGCGCAGAGGGGAAGGGCTTGGTGTGGGGAGACCCTCAGTGGTTAGCCCTCTGTAGCAGGCCGACCGGGACCAGTCCCCCAGCTACGCAGGTGCAGGGACAGCGACCACGCCAGTCACTTTTCTTTTAACACACTATAGGTTTTAATAACAAAAGATTAATGCCTCTCACATGACTAAATTTGTTGAATTCTAGAACTTTGGCCTATACTTCGTATGGCTTTCTGGGTGCTCAGTAAATGAGAATTGGGTTCCGGAGTTGGGTGATTTGATACAATTTCAGAAGGTCCCCTTGGCCTCGGCTGGAAGCTGGGCCAATCAAACACCAGCTCGGGGCCATTGCTCCTCGGAAAAACAGGAAGGACCCCAATGATATCCTCTGAAGCAAGGCAGACCCCTCTTCCTGATCTGCCCTCCGAGGCTTGGTCAGTGGGCAGAAGAGAACACACCAGACGATTTAAGGGGGAGGGGAGGGTGGTTCAGAAACGTGACTTTTTTCCAGAACAATGAACAGAATGAATGACTCAAACTCCCGCCACAGTTCACA